AATACCTATCATTTGAGCACATCTTAGTAACTTTATCAAAACATACTTTAGTGATCAATGACAAAGTTGTCAAGGAATTAGTTATTTGTGGGTGAGCTACAGGGTTACACGTTGTGAACGCCATTAACTATTGAACAAAGAATGATGGAGCTACACATTAAAAACAATGATGTGTAATTGCTGTCTATTCCTACCCTGAATTATTTTATTCGGTGCAGATGATGAATAGTGCTAATTAACATCCTGTTTAGAAACGACTGATGTTGCGAAGAGGAAGAACAAACTTCAGTACAGTGGAACTCAAATATTGAGTCGACAATTCATGTACTGAGTGAAATCCGACATTTTTACCATGAAGAGTAGCCTACACTGAAAATAAAGAATAGTTTATAAGAAAAGAAAGAGCAGCCATCTTAAGAAAGAGTTACAGGTAATGTTCTGATTGATTGTTAACGCTTAGACGTCATACCCAACTTTTTAAATTTTAAAATTTCTATGTCCCAATCTTATCATTCTAATTCACAATATGGATTTCAAAGACAATTATCAAACAAAGAAATAAATCAAAAATTCAGTTACATAAATATTTAACACGCCAGGGTTTCCTTCCCTAGCTTCCTTCCCTTTCATGAAAAACAGTGGGTAATAGAATAACCGGTGTCTTTCAAGCCTATAATATTACCAGGGATGACGCTTTTACCATCTCTAAAAACCTGGAATAGGTTCATCAGTTTAGATTAATTTACTAGCAAACACAGAACATCAACAATATCACCAACTTCCATTTTTGGGAACTTTTATTTATACTAACAATAGTGAAATTTACAGTTTAAACACTGATAACCTGGAAGATGTTGGAAACTAATAGGCCTAACAATCGCTATAAAAATCTACTTAATCTGGTTATTAGAGAGGAGAATAAAACCCGTAAACCAATTAATTACAATAACCTATTTTTGAGTACATAAAGTTAAACGAGAAACATGAATTTATTTGTTTTTGAAAGCTACTCGAGTGCGCAGATAAATGTTAAATGACATATTTTGAGTACTTTATACCTCACACACCAATTCTAAACTAAAACAAAAACATGATGGATACATTCTTATTTATTTAATTCAATTAATTTTTTCACCAAAATCTTATAATATCTTGAAATTAATTATGCATATACTGAAACTGCATAGAATAAATATATTTATTTTAATTGTTTGGAATTAAGCACAAAGCTATCTGTGCTTTGCCTACCACGGGTATCGAAACCCGGTTTCTAGCGTTGTATGTCCGCAGACATACCGCTGTGGCACTGGGGGCATTTATTTTAATATAAATAACATCGATATATTAAAACTATTTTAATATATGTTTTGATGTTGTTAAAAAAGGAGTAAAAATCTCGCGGTTTGTAAAAGTATTCTATGACTTATGGTGTTTTAGATTATTACATTTTCTTAATTTTTAAAAATAAATCTTGTTAAAACAAATAAAAATAAGAATGTGTTACATTGACTAAAAACAATATGATTAATAAAACATTGTTGTATTTTGTCTAAATTTTTATTATTTAATATAACTGACCATTAAATTTGATTTAAAAGATCCATATAATCCTGATAAATTGTGTTCTTAAGCTACGTTTTAAATTGTTCTTAACCAAAAGAATCCCAAGATAGCTTTGTGGACTAACTTACGAAATGCTTAAATTTCGTCTTAAGTATTGACTTGAAAAGAATTTAAGAAATATCTTAAGAAGTTTTTGTGAAACTGGGTCTAGAATCATAAGTCTAATATTTAAAACATTATTTGAAGTGCATATACATCGAAATCATAAGAATCAAGTGGACGTATACGGTAGGCGTGGTTGGAAAGTCATACATATTGGTTTAGAATGCTCACTTTAAATGGTCAAAAACGTTTGACGGTAGGATTATGCAAAGTTCTAGGGTCGTCAAAAATGAATTTAAGTTAAAAAAGTATTTTGTGTTTCTGCCTCTTGTAATTATCATTCTTATACGCACAAGCTAATCACAGAAATAATATTTCCAATCATTCACACAAAACTATTTTATTACATGAATATATTATATAAGCGTTACGCCATTACTGGAGAGTTTGGCGTTTTCTGAATTACTCTTTTTTTTATCCAAAATACTAATTGAGGAGTAATCTCTTAGCAAGAGTTGATGTTAGACATAACCAGGAATGATTAATCTGTAATTAGCATGCTAATGACCAACAATACTGAGTAATTACAGAACTTTATATACATGGATAACCAGAAATGCATGTAATTTATCCATTTCTAAAATCTCCTCTGAAAGGCTCAATAAAAGACCATTAAATTATGTTCCCAACTAGACAGTTACAATAAACGCAAGGTTAATGATGGTTTTACGTCTCGTCACCAAGGAAGTTAATACAATACTTTCACATTTTACCTGCAAGGGAGAGGACAGTCACATTTCAACGTTTTGTTCATCATACCTGCAACCACGTCGTCCATGCAGGAAACTAAAGTTACAAGAAAAAAATTGATGTATAAATCTTCTAGTCATGGTTTTATTCCAACTACGAGTTGAAACTAAAGTCACAAGAAACAATTGGTTTACAAATTTTCTAATCACGATTTTATAACAACTATAAGTCAAACTAAAAGTTACAAGAAACAATTGATATACAAATGTCCTTGTCTCGATTTTATAACAACTATAAGTCAAACTAAAAGTTACAAGAAACAATTGATATACAAATGTCCTTGTCTCGATTTTATAACAACTATAAGTCAAACTAAAAGTTACAAGAAACAATTGATATACAAATGTCCTAGTCTCGATTTTATAACAACTATAAGTCAAACTAAAAGTTACAAGAAACAATTGATATACAAATGGTCTAGTTATGATTTTATACATAATTACGAGATAAAACTGTAGTCAACGTGCTGAGAAATTTTATCAAGCGTTTTTAACAAAGTTGTAAAGAAATAATTATCAATGCTTTCATTTTCGTTAGTATTTGTATTTATAAAGTTAATTACATCTTTAACAACAGTAATCAAAGAGCATACTGTCGCCCAGCCGCTCTTTTTTCGAGATTGCGTGCGTTTATACTGGATAACGTAAGATTTCACCTTCGAAAACTCAGAAAGTCCTTCTCAGATACTGAATGATCTACGATCCAGATCAATTTTTTGTAGTGGGATCAGGAGTCTCAACCTTAATGTTCCCATGAAATTTGGTACAAATTCGATCACACTTTACAGAGTTATTTACCCCAAACCGCGAAAATGCCCTATCTCCCCATTATAAAAAATGATTAAACGTGATCAGAATCAGAATCCGGATTTGAACCCGGACCAAATTAGGGGAGGACTGTCCCATACTTACTTCTCATCTTACGTAAAATTTTCGTGTACATCAGTCTATCAGGTTTTGAGATAAGTGCGCGGAAACACGGACAGACACATACACACATGAAGCGAGGATAATTAAAATAATGTTAAATGAGGTATACAGGTTTGTCAAATCTCCTATTAACTTTATCAAATGAAATGATAGACAAGCTTTTATAGGTTTCAGCTAATGTAGATAGTTAATTAGGAAAATTGTGCTTTTAATGATTCAAAATAGTTGTAATCAATTTAACCAACAGATGTCTCATGTACTCTGAGGGTCGAAGCACCTTTAACAACAATATTACCCTAGAGGTAATATATAGTCAATATACATTTTATGAAAGTTCTATACATTAAAATATTTTGTTTTTAAAATTCATATTCTTCTAGTTAGAAAATGTTTTATAATCAACCTTCTAGGTTGATTTGTGGACATTATTTAGACCTAACTCAACACAAAATATACAAATGTCATACTTAAAACTAATGTTAGACTTAAAAGTTTATTTTTTGTTATAATTGTATGAGACCTAACTCAACACAAAATATACAAATGCCATACTTAAAACTAATGTTAGACTTAGAAGTATATTTTTTGTTATAATTGTATGAGATTAACTACATCTATTTATGGAGTAATTTTAGGCCTACTGTATTTTGAAAGCATATTTATATGTTATATGTTTATTGATACATTTTAAAGTTAAACAGGGTCTCCTGACTACTTATTCTATAAACTGTGTTTATAAGCAGTACTCATTAGCACAAAAAATATGGCTTTTGCAGTTTATAAGCTTAATCGGTGTACGACGTGGAATTTTCTTGAATACGTATAAGCATTCCAAAATATTTTCTTACCCTGTGCATTTGATTCTAGAGAACATATTTTAGCGTTCTTTTTTAGCTTCAACGATGGATCAACACACTTGCACATTTTCATATTCAACTCTTGCAAACATTGAAAGAAACATTGCTAATATGAAAAAGAAAACGGTAATATTAATTAATAACACCAGGAAGAAAAATTATCAATGTTTTATTTCTCATATGATCCGCAGCTCTACAACACTGCGGATCATATGAAACCAAGATATAATAACTGAGAGTTAAGAGTTAAAAATTAAATTTCATTACTGGTCCGAAAAATGTTTTGAAAGTGATTAGGTTACAATTGCGATAAATGTTTTTTTAGGTTTCTTGAGATATTCAATAATCAGTGTGGACATTGGAACTACATTTGGTAAACTTAATTTGATAAAGTTATAAAAGTAGGGTTATGTTAAACAGACTGAATTCTCTTCGGGTGGTAACGTTCACATGATGATGTTTATCATTCACTCCTGTTTATTACAAGTAAAGATACACGAAGAAATGACATAAGAAAGCAGATATCAAGAAACCAATTCATCAAATCCTACAATCTATCATTTTGCATACATGAAAGGCAAACTTCATAATGACAATATATATCATTAGTTAGGCTCTCTTCAATGAAAAACGGTAATTTTAAATGATCTAGTAAATTTAATAAGAAACATTATATCATAACTCAAGCTCAGAACGCATAAACACGAGAAAAGGAGTGGAGTGATGAAGACATGAAAAACTATAGTACCGACTGTTCTTCATAGTTGCGACACTTGTCTTTGTATGGCGCAGGTAAACGTTCAGTTGTAACCTACAAAAACAAAATCATTAATCATAATAATTACTTGTAGCACTCATATGCAACCAAACAACTTTGGTGTATGTGTACGTTTAGTAATAAAATATTTCTAGTTTGTTTTATCGAGATTCGAAATATTAATGAAAACGATCATGGCAAATCAAACTTAATACAACTTGGTGACTTCTACAGAGAAAGTGTCATAAAAAACTATCTGAGAATAGAAAACAGCTAAAGATTAACTATTTAAAATGATCACTTTTAACCCAATATTATACGCGACGTTCAAGAATACATTCTAAATATAGAACTATGTAACATGGAGTTTGTTTGTTTGTTTTTAATTATGCACAAAGCTATACAAGGGCTATCTGTGCTCTGCCCACCACGGGTATCGAAACCCGGTTTCTAGCGTTGTAAGTCCGCAAACATTCCACTGTGCCACTGGGGGCGTAACATAGAGAGAAAATATGTTTTTTTATATTTTTTGTTTTTACTCTCTAAGTTACTTAAGAAGAACAAGAACGTTCTTATCTTATACGTTAATATTTAGGAAATTACAATATATGCACAAATACTAAATAAAGACAACAGATGAGATGCAATGTTATAAAATTAGTAATGATGTAACTTAACTTATTGTATAGGAATGAGCAATAGAACTTTTGTTAATCCATAATAATTATGTAATATATGGCAATAAGAAGATGCCAACCATTTTACAGCAGTTTATGCATATCTTAATAATTTTATCCAAAACATACTTTAGTGATTCCTGACAAAGTTGTCAAGATATTACATATTTTGAGGTGAGTTGCAAACTCACAAAAAAGCTTTTCCATATTGCGAATGCCTAAAATTTTTGAACAAAGAACGGTGGAGCGATGGGCTAAAAACAACTAAGTCTTGTGTAATTACTCTTACTCAACAATTTACAATTCAGCGCAGAAGATGAGAAGTCTTAGTTAACATCTTGCTTAAAAAAATTGGTGATGTTGTGAGCAGGAAGAGCAAAGAAACTTCGGTACAGTGGAACTCAAATATTGAGTCGGCAATCCATGTACCGAGTGAAATCCGACATGAAGAGTAGCTCACATCGAATTCAAACAAATCACTTCTGTTTGATTGGCTCAATGCTTAATAATAAACAACGAAATGTAAGTTCAAAAGTTATGGACTCTTGCACATTCCAAGTGTTGCACGGCCAAACTATGCATAATGAAAATTTGGGCCTACTTTATCGTTTTAAGCATAACATAAGATATTTTGATGTCACCGAGCATCTCTCTCTATATATCACGAAGAAAAGTTTCAATTATGCCTTTTTTTACAAGCAGTGTTTTGAACAAAAGGAAAAAGATATCATATATATGATTGAAAGTTATGTTTAGGTTATAAATAATTTTTCGCATACTTTATATGTCTATTCTTATATGATCACAAAACTTGAGAAATAAAGTCCAAGAAATAAGCATTTCTAAAGCTATTGTTTCTTAATTAAAGGAGTTACCTTTTTTTAAAAAAAATATAAATCAAAATATGTTATTAATAGCTAGTTAGAATAATATTAGGCTCATGTTTTATTTTTCAGGCTTTTTCTATATAATATTAACATAAACATATATTAATATTAATAAAGTACGAAAAACTTAGTAATTGTAAAGCTAAATGTAGCTATATAGACTTAATTTCGGAAGCGTTACATGATAGCCTTAAATTATTGAACTAAAATCAGAAATTAAGGGAAATTTTAATAGAAGATTTTATTGACTTGATATGGTATTCTTTTACAAACTTACTTTGGAAATTGTTACTGATGTCACCAACCCAGGGCTGATATCTATACCCTCATTCTCCGGTTGAGGGGCGGCAAACGGTGAATGGATGACTACACGAGCACCAAGCTTAGGTGTTATCTTTTCAAGATAATCATTTCGTTGTAGGTTTAGCTCGACTGTTAAACCTATGTGAGAAAACACAGACACAATTAAGTTTGCTTGTCTCATCATAAAATTTATAAAAAGGAAATTTTCTAAACTCATCTCCATTTAAAGCATCATCTGCTAATATCCGGAAAAAATGAAAATTCTTTTTGAAGACATGTAAGTCGATAATATCAAAACTTTCTAAACACAGATACTCAGCGATGATGTTAAACTTGTAACCTTGCTATCAAAATTGAAAAACAAAAACGGCTTTCCAATAAATCAAAAACTAATATTATTTAACCAGGGAATCTAATAGCGTCCGTTAATAATATGATCAGATATATTAACATTATGTACGAGATTTTTATGTAAATCATTATTTTTCTTATTTAAGACTCGGAAACAACGTGCTTTACCTTTATTTAGAACGTTTTAAAGTTGAATACCTGTAAAGCTTCAAACTTAAAGAAAAGTCAAAATCACAATAAATAGCATTTTATTTATCTATAAGCTGTGTTCTTCGATTATTGTGTTACAAACGCGACAGTTGCTTAACGTTACTGATATTTTAAGTGTGACTAGCTCATTGTGGTTAGCCTGTCGTTGGCTTTCAAAAATGAAACAATTTCTAGATTGTGTGAGCAACTGAGTAACAATGTTCTGATTTTCTTACCACTTATAGCCCCGACAGATGTTGTAGTTTTTGGTGTTGATGTGCTGGACCAGGCTGCATTAAATGTATAACAGTTTCCATACAGGAACGAATTGGAAATTGTGAAGTTCCTTCAGAATTACACACAAAAATATATTAACTACAGTTATTGTCATTAAGGTTATTTAAAAAAAACGGAAAGTAAGCGAACATAAAAAATGTTCAAGAAGAAAACAATAAATGTTTTCTCTGTAAAAAAGAAAAACATCAACAAGATGGCTTGTACGTATGATCAAAAAATAGATAACGTTTATAACACCCAGTATCATGAACATGTAGTCTATCTTCCGAAAACACTGGGATTTTTATGTGAAGTACAACTTTTTAACATTTGAATTCCATCTAAAGCAAAATGGCAAAATATTAATTTGTTTTCAGGCACATTGTGCTACTTTATTAAGAGTAACAAACACAAAAACAGATGATTTTTTGGCACAATGAAAACGAAAACAACTGACTAGTTTCGGTAACACATTTACTACGGTAGATACTAGCCCTGATTATGGTAACTGTGTTACCAAAACTAGTCGGCTGTATTTAATAATAAATATTTTATCTTTCATTGTGCAAAAAAAATTTATTTTTTATTCTTACTAATAAAACAATATATGTGTAATTTTCCTAAATAAAGTTTCTTTACACCAAATGCATCAGTCTTTAGAAAAAATATTAACGTGTGTATCAGTATTTGTTAACTTATGAATTCAGCTTGTGTACAAAGCTTTATTTATCGTTTACCTTTACTTCAGTTCAAATATAGGTTGTATTTCTGTTTTATGCAGTGCCAACAAAATAAATGTTTCCACTTCTATTTAAATATCGGTTGTGGTAGATCTTGTTTCCACTTCACTTTAACTAAAAGTACATGTGCTGGAAGGGTCAATAAATTGTTGTTATTTTTTTCTGAATTCGAGGAAAGTAAGAACGTAAATACTTCTTAACTTGATACTGAATGTCAATAAGTTATGCCTTCATATAAATAAAGAAAAAAATCAACCCTTTCCCTTGTTTCTGCAAAGTAGGAATTAAAAGTAGAGATCCACCTGCATGTTAATATTAAATAAATATCAGAAATACCAGTGTAAGTTATCCAGTGAAATGATAAACTCATAGAAGGTGTGTAACGAACTACCAAAAAACAGGCAGGATTCAATAGATTTTAATATCGATTGGACTTTGTTCTTTACTCTAGAATCAATGTTAAATGTTATCCAACCTTTAAATGAATATTAATGTAGCATATATGTATCTACATATCTTTAGCAAACCACACGTGTTCTCTATGCACAGTCTACCTCAAAATGTTTCCAAAAGTTGTATCAAACTTACAAAAACGTGCGTGCGTAACGTGGGCATCTAGTCTTATTAACGTTCAGTAAAACCTGTTCTCTAGAACTTATCAAAACATTAGTATCTAAAATGTTTCAAATGAGTTATTTTGCAATATTTTGGCCACTCAGTCGTACAAACCAACTGGCCTTTAGAACAAATGGCTCCCATATATGCTAAGGATACAATCAATTACAATTTGTGAAACGAGGTACTATCAAATACATAAAGGGTGTTAATTTTATGTAAACAATTCTTCAGGAACGGTAAGCTCAGAGAATGCAATAGGATATAGGCTCATCGAACACACGGTAATCAATAGTAGTTATCTTCAAATAACATTTACATATTTATTCTAATGAGATAATTTCGATATACCAACATTGGATGTGTGTGTCGTCCAAAGAACAATTTTTCTTTTACCTAAATCATCAAATCAATATTTGGTAAACATTTTCAGAGTTCTCCATTTTCTACCTTTTTCCGCATTTTTTAAATATTATTACAGATATTTTTATTTCAAATGAAAGAGAACAGTTTCTGTTCCCAAAAGCTTCTTTTATTGTAAATGATTATGTCTGATACTCTAAAGGAACTTTTCTCCTATTACAAAAAAAAAATATTGGTAAATATGATAACACTAACAATAATGCAGTCCCATGCGCTGGTAACAGTCCTTTGTGTATAGACTTATCTCAAAAGTGCTTTATATATATAGACCTATCCCAAACGTTCTTTTTATATAAACTCATCCTAAGCCTGATTTCAATATAGACTTCTGCATATACAGCCTTCCCAAATCTGCCTCTGTTTATAGATTCTTCCCAAACCTGCCTCTGTTTATAGATTCTTCCCAAACCTGTCTCTGTTTATAGATTCTTCCCAAATCTGCCTCTGTATATAAACTATTCCCAAACCTGCCTCTGTATATAAACTATTCCCAACTATGCCTCTTAATTCAAGCTCTTCCCAAATTTGCCTCCGTTTATAGACTTCTTAACACGATGAACATTTGCTCTATGAAAGTGTTTTGCTACCGCCAAGCAATGAGTGAGTATTACTGTGGGTTAGACTGTTCAAGTTTAATTTTTTGATAAATAGCTTTAAAACAAATGCTCAATAACTTGAAACCTTAGAACTACCACAAATTTAACAAGTGTAGTTATTAGAGAAATTTAATACATAAATACACTTAATAACTGCAGTCCCAGATTAAACAAGAACGAAACTTATTATTATAGAGAAAATAAACATTCTGGTAAATAGAAGAGCGGGTCTTAAACAACATTGAACTAAACGAATACTATAGAATGACAACTAATTTACATGTTTAATAATCTTAATGAATATCACATGAATAAACTAAGCAGTGATTGTATATTGTTTGTTTGCTTGTTTGTTTTGAATTTTGCGCAAAGCGACACGAGGGCTATCTGCGCTAGCCGTCCCTAATTTAGCAGTGTAAGACTAGAGGGAAGGCAGCTAGTCATCACCACCCACTTGGGCTACTCTTTTACCAACGAATAGTGGGATTGACCGTCACATTCTAACGCCCCCACGGCTGAAAGGGCGAGCATGTTTGGTGTGACGTGGATTCGAACCCACAGATTGCGAGTCGAGTGCCCTAACCACTTGGCCATGCCGTGCCAATTGTATATTCTTGGAATGAATACGATAATAAAGAAAAATCATATACAGATTTAATAATGGAACAAACTACCCGGATAGTATGAAAAATAACTAAAATTGCACCTGTAACTACATTTTACGCCCATCCAAGTACACTTTATAATTAAATCCATTGCTTGATGACCTAATTGTCGGCGCCTTCTCTCATTGAGGTTTTGTAGGATGCTGAAGAATCTTCGTGTGTTGTTGTATGTTTCACTTGTGTCCTGGCGATTTCGTTTGGAAGACGAAACCATTAAACGGGGCTGAAAAAGGGATATACACGTGATGAAAAACTGAAAATATTTTACAACGTAATACTTTTAACGATATAAGAAAAAAAAACGAAAATGAATAGTTCTTTATGTGATTAAATGTAAACTAACATTGGAATTTTGTTTTAACACATCAACTTTCATTATGCTTCAAATGCATAATTGACCCAGATGTTTCACTGTATAGAATGAGTACCATTATAAAACATTATTACAACAAAACAAGATAATTCCCTTCATATTTTCTTTTTTTTTTGCGTATGTCACTACATTCCTAAAAATTCCACTAGAAATCGTTAGAAATAAGCATTAAAATTAACGGTTAATGATTAGGTGATAGTGATGTTGCTGTTTAGTTCTTAAAATATGTATGCTGTTACACAAATATCCAGTAATCATCGACTTGTTATAAAAATGTGTTATGGGGTGCAGGTGGCTCTAAAGCGATACTGACTCCAGCTGGGATAAGGTAATTTGAAGACTATTTTAGATGGACAGAAAATTTAGTTTTGTTGACACACACAAAAAAAAAAGAGGTATTACCATAATTTAATTTTTAGCAGAATGAGTTACTATATTTTTTCAATTGGTGATTTTGGATATCATTGATAATACGAGATACAAGTAAAAACTTACCGAATGATAAACTCTAGAGCGAGAAAAAGAAGTGCGTTCTATAAACTTCCGAATCCCAGACGTTTCCATCAATTTGTGAAGTGTATTTCCTGGTATCACTGTTCCGTAAAACATCAAGGCTGAACGACGAACCCTGATGTAAACAATATAAAATACAAGCCCTCTCCTGGAAAAGTATGCTAATATTCTAAACGTATAAAAATTAGCAATTTACAAATTAACATACAAAGCGTGGTCACAAGTAAATAGACACCACCTTTTCAGCGAAAATGAAAATTTTCAGTCATATTCACATGAATTGATATATTTAC